CCGAGCACGAGCGGGAGCCAGAGCAGGCACGGGGCCATCGCCATCGCCTCTGGGCACCCGCGTTAGACACCCGGCACGTCCAGCGCTGTGCTCGGGGCCCACTGGCTCATCCTCGCTGACGTCCACATCCACATCCACATCTCCACGGCCTGATCTGCATCCCAGAAACCAAAGGATTCGGGGAAAAGAAGCTGTCCCTGGGTATGTTAGCAAGCTACAGACTGGAGAGGTCTTCAAAGTGAATGGTCAGAAGGTCACAAATGAGTCGGTTTTCCCCTATTTTTCCCTCCCGCTGTCACAGGGCAGCTCAGCCGCAGTGGCCCTGGCCCGCGGTGCGGCAGAGGAGCCGGGCCGGGCTCAGACTCTCCATCTCGCCATCTCTCCGACTCTCCATTATCCCACAAAAACATACGAAGCATCATCTAAATCGGGTGTTTTTCAATTTGAGGCTCGATCTAGAAGGACTCTTTGGAGCGAGGGGCAGCTTTCAGCCAGAAGAGTATTAGAACCTAATTCTGGAACCCAATTATTAATGCAAAACCTCCAAACACCTTCATACTTGCAAGTCTTTTCCCAGTATCTATGAAAATTAGGGCACTTCTTTGCTCCATACATGTTAGTTGTTTCAATTTAATTAATTATATTTCCAAGATCAGGCAGCTATAGTCACTACAGAGAAAGCAGACAAGGACCAGTTCAGTCAGGGATGAACTAACAGATAGCCAGAGGGCCAAACTGGCCATTTCAAATCCTAAAAAAATCGAGCACAATCGCCAAACTTCATTAATAGATATCCCAAAGCAGCAGCACACACCTAGCTACAGGTGGCAGCTTCCAGCACTCAGGACTCAGCATCCTTGGCAGCCTCCAGCACTTCCAGCAGATGTAACAGAAGGCACATGGATGCATGTGATAATCATTTCTGTAATACATTTACACACTGAGGTGGAAATGGGAAGCACTGCTCCAAAACACCCATTTATCAGCATCCCCCAGCTCTCCCTGCCATGACAAGGGCATTTCATTCCACAGTTATTTGTCTCAATGCCCTTTCACAAAATAAGCCTGTGAATAACCTACTTGTGAGGCTGTTGCTTGAGAGATTCTGAATCATAGAATCATGGAATATGCTGAGTTGGAAGGGACCCACAAGGATCATCAAGTCCAATTCCTGGCCCTACACAGGACACTCCAAGAATCCCACCATGTGCCTGAGAGCCTTGCCTAAACACTTCTTGAACTCAGGCAGAATTGGTGCTGTAACCACTTCCCTGGGAAGCCTTTCAACCACCCTCTGGTGAAAAACTTTGTTGTGATATCCAGCCTAAACCTCAAGGACATACTTGGGTATTCTTATCAAGGAAAAAGCAATTAAATTACATTATTTACATACATCTCAAATTCGAAAGCTTCTCATTAGAAATAAAAACGGCTTACAAGCTGGGCAAGTGATTTGCATCACTGGAAGAAATAAGCACAGGCAAAAGAGAAAAAGAGATTCATTAATCAGACAAGCTGCTACTGTCTTTAAAAAATAAATTAAAAAAAAATCAATCCTCATAAAAGATTTTATTATAGGCAAAATAACTGTTCAATCACCTTACGATCAGAAATATTCAAATGAAATATCTCTGAAGGATTATTTCTTTCCACAACTTAGGTGTTTAGGTTTTGGAACATATGTATTTTACAGTGTATTTACTGTTATAGGCTTTTGCTGAAGAATCAATTCATATTTTGTACAGTACTTTTAAAAATAATTGCCAATTTTATTTTTTTTAAGTAGCCAAAGAGAGGCCAAGAGAACTATACAGACCATTCACTCTAAGCGTATATTTTCAGTTTGAGTGGTAAAAGGAGGAGACCAAACAACCACTTAAATTGAAAGCTTAAAATCAGAAAGAGGTTTTCAAATTTGGTGTTGTTACTAAAGGTTGAAAAACTTAAATAAAAAACATATACCAGTGTTACAGCACCATTGGAACCTGCATTTTGCAACACAGCTGGGATTGGACTAAACCAAGAAAATTTAGCAGGTCTGGTTTTGTAGTCAAATAATATTTTATAACAGTAAACAGTTGTTTGCATCTTTCTGGAGGCCTTTAACTATTTTCCCTCACCGGAGTCCCAAACATTAGATTTTATTAGGCAAACTGAACAGGTCAAGGTGTATAACATGTCTCTACATTTCAGTTGGGCAAGGCTACAACAAACAGTTGTGTAAGCAATGTGACAAATAAAGGGATATGCCTCAAAGTTATATGTGATTGTGATGTTCAGAGGAAAATTTAATGGTTCGGTCACCCAGAATTTCATCCCAGGTTCTTATCAGGCATGAGGATAAAGCTGCTTTGATAGAAAACAAGGTGGAACACCTTGGTCACAGGTGAAGTGAGACACCCACTTCCAGTTCTACTCATGTATTATAAATCAAATTTCCTGCTCTAACAATGTCCAATGGAATGTTCCTGGTAACGCATATTGTCCTCTAAACATGGGAAAGAGATGATTAATCCGAACCTCCAACCTGCTTATTAAATACCTAGAAATGAAAAATATCTGCTAAACCCCTGTGCTAGTGCTCACATGCAGCCACTTCCCCTGCACACGTGCAGTAGGAACTAAATCAGATAAACCCAACTGGTCTCTCAGACACGGTGCCAGATGTAGTGATGAAAAACACACTGTGTTCAAAGAGCTTCTCATTTAAAGTGATACAATAGTGTAATTCAGATCTCAATCTATTTCTTGGGAAAAAGTCACAATTGCACAATTCATTTTGTTAACAGTCCAATTTAACATAGCTTTATATGGATTTAAATGGTCCTTTCATCAGAATTTATAGATAAATCTGTTGAGTTAGCATGTGGAGAGAAATAGAAGAATAAAGTGTTCAAGGCTGGTTTGGTCAGGGCTTGGAGTAACCTGGTCTAGTGTGGAGATGGTCTGTGAGGACCCTTCCACGCAAACATTTCTGTGATTCTGTGAAGTTCATTGATTACTTTCATAGAAGAGAAATAAGATCATCTTGGATATAATGTAATCAAAGAATTGGCCACAGTACCAACTGGAAAATGCTTTTGTAGTCCCAGCAAACAAAACATAGTTTAAGGTGAATCAAATTGTCATCACTTAAATATGGAAATTTTTCTATCATTAATAATAGATAAGGTAGTACCTAAAAATCCAAGTACAAGCTACAACAGCAGCAAACCAAACACTAGGTAAACAAAGGCAGCAAGGTAAAAAATGGCCCCATCCAGAGCAATCTGTGATCTAAGGAAAAAAAAACAAAGCAGAAAAGAGTCTTGCAAAAACACGGGGAACAGGGAATTTTTCCATAAATCAAAAAAACCTCTAAATACTCAGGGAGTCAGTTGTAGACAGCAGCACATGTTTGGACCTATTCAACTGCGCCTCAGATCCTGGGGTCAGTTTTGGGCCACTTGCTCCAAGAAAGACATTGAGGGGCTGGAGCATGTCCAGAGGATGGCAACAGAGCTGGGGAAGGGTCTGGAGCACAAATCTGATGGGGAGCAGCTGAGGGAACAAAGAAAAGGAGGCTCGGGGGGGACCTTCTCGCTCTCTACAACTCCCTGACAGGAGGGTGGAGCCAGGTGGGGATCAGGCTCTGCTCCCAGGGAACAAGGGACAGGATGTGAGGAAACGGCCTCCAGTCATGCCAGGGGAGGGTTATGTTGGATATTGGGAAAATATCCAACCTAACAGCTGCCCAGGGCAGTGGTGGAGTCACCAATCCTGGAGGGATTTAAAAGCTGTGTAAATGAGGCACTTCGGGACATGTTTTGTTGGTGGCCTTGGCAGTGCTGAGTTAATGTTCGGGCTTAGTGATCTTAAGGGTCTTAGTCAACCTAAATGATTCCATGATTCTGTCTCCTATAGGCAGAAGTAATCCAGAACTGAGCATGTTACAGTGACATGTGTATTTCGGATTTATGTAAGAAATACCTGTCTTTGGTATGTTTGAGTTCACAGATCCACAGCAACATACCTGACAACTCCCCTTTTAGAACTGCTACTCAAGACTTACACCTTCTTGTGAATACTGTCTCTGGATTAGAGATGGAAGAAACTGAGACAGAAGCGTTAAATGGACCCATAAGACCACACAGGGAAGGACTGCTGGAGCTGGGATTAAAGCAGAGGAGCTTTTGAGTGCTAAATGCAGATCCAGAGTCTGCATTTGACCCGTGCTTTCATCTTTCCATGGTATCATGAAGCACAGTCTGCCTTGGTGCACTGTGGCTTCCAGCCTGTTATAAAGATATCATGGTAAGGGAAATACCAGAGGGGTTGTCCTTGGATAGAGACCAGCTATTCCCTCCTTCAGCATAGCTACTAAAAACCACTGCAGACAAACCTGGAGAGCCTGTCCTGGGTTCAGCTGAGCTTGGGCTATGGAGCAGGAGAAGGAAGGCAGCAGGAAGCGTTCTTCTCTGTACTGTGTCCAACCTGGCAGGAGAGAGAAATAAGGGGTTGATCTGGGGAAAGGCTCCCAAAATGCACATTTGGTTTAGAGCTTTGAAGAAGAGGGCAATCCCAAAGTTGTGACTAGCCCTGACCCTCAAAGCTTCATATTGCACAAAGGGAGAAAACTTTAACCCTTCCCAGAAAGCTTAATTGCAATGGGAATATCACATCTCACTGGTAATTAAGTTTTAAGTCTTATGACTGTTTTGTCCTATGCTATATCATTATAGCCAATTATATGCTGGTAGACTATAGATTCATTGCATGGCAGCTTTTAGACAGCTGCATTTATAGCAAAAACTTGTTTGTCTCCAAAAAAGGGAGAATTAAGAGAGAAAAAATGGAACAGAAAAGAAGA